TTTTCTGGTCATTACCCATTTTTCATACAGGATACTTGTCCATGGCCCACCGCTAGGCATAACCCTTAACTACAGTGACTACAGTCCTAAACTCATTAGGTCCATATATAAACCACTCTAGCAATTTCTGTAATTTTATTGATACCATGCAAGTTTTTTTGTTCTTTTGTGAAGTACTAATAAAAACATTTTTAAAATGATACCAAAGAAATTTAATAATATAGTCCACAAGAAATTTCCATACTCAGAGTATACTGTAATAAAGTAAAATCATATCCTCAGATTATGGGGCCCCTGCATTCTGCTATATGGCCCCCCAGGGGGCCAAGGCCTACAGTTTGGGAAACACTGGTCTATACTTATGCAGTGCTTCATGAACAAAGTAAAATAGTATAGTATTTTCTTAAGAGGAACCATACATGTCCTCCATAAGTGAGGGGGTGGGTAGTTCTTGATAGGAAAAATCAAAATTAAGATAAGGAAATACCAACTCTTATATTAGGTCCTGCAAAATAAAATAAAGTACTTTAAAAGTGACTTAAACCACCAACTGCTAATAGTTCTTTGAGGCCTCAGAGGGAGTGAATGATGAATATTTGCCACAGAAATGATTTTATTTCACAGATTTTTTGGGTGGCCAAACACTTCATACCAACTCAGTACCTGGAACATTATTTGAAAGGAAATTAATTAGACAACATGGTAGAGATAACTACTTTCAAATACAACTCCCATTTCATTTTGGTTGCATCTTTCTGAGGAAACTAAAGCAAGTACTGACAAAATGTTTTACAGCAGCAAAAGTGCTTTGAAAGATAGACAAAACAACATCAAAGTGAATAATAAACATATTTTCACCCAGGAATTTTCTTTGTGATCAGTACAATACTGAACAATCTGGAAATTGCAAGGAAAAGTAACATAATCAGAAGGTGCTGTTCACAGGAAAGAAAGATGAAAAGAAGAAAAGAAGAAAAGAAAAGAAAAGACAAAATCACATCACCTTTCACTTACCAACAATAACTTGCAAATTTATGTTATTCAGCTGCACAACTTGCACATGGTCAGGGGAGAGAACTAGATTATGGATCTGTGGAAAGAAATTAAATTGTTAAACCACAGACAGTTTCATTTATTCATTCAAATGTTATTTACTTGGCATGCTTATCCTATTCCTTGATTTTTGGGAAAAAAAACATATTTCTTTTATCATTCTTTTGTTATCAACATTATACTGCTACTAATACAATGACTACAACTACTACTAATAATAATAACAATAAAAATAGCAATACTAATATAAATAAAATAATAACAATTGCTTGTGGAGCCACTTACATTTTTTTTCCTTTTATTCTATTCTATTTCATTTCATTTCTTCATCCGTTTTTCTTTTTTTCCTGCCATTTGTGCATTTTCTTTCAAATCTTTTAAACTTAAAATCAAATTTCAATCTAAAACTGAGAGAGAGAGAGAGAGAGAGAGAGAGAGAGAGAGAGAGAGAGAGATACTTTTTTTTGACTTTGACACGTTTATAAAATTACATCTCAAAAGGATGAGGTAACTTAGGTTATCCTCACCCTTACTTAATAAGTCCCTGTGCAAGCTCACATTTCATATACAAAGCTTAGGTATAATAATATCTAAAAATAAATACAACACTTAAATTATAAAGAATTACAAGCATTACAATAATCCAGAGTCATCGGCTTATGTATCGGTAAGGTGATACAACACTCCCACCCTCATCCAGAT